GGGTTTTGGGTTTAGGGTTTTGAGGCTCTCTTGGAAGGGATCTGACGAGATCTTTTGGGGCTCTACGGTTTCTTAAGCCTTTGGAGAGATCTTTTGGGACTCCGTATGGCTTCTTGGGGGATCTGTTGGGACTCTATAGTTCGAGTTTGGGGCAGGAAGGGTTCTGGGACTTAAGGGCATGTGCCTGAAAGGCATGGCGCTTCCTTTCCAAAGTCTGGGAATCCCAGACCGCTTCGAAGATTTTTGGGGGGATCTTCGCAAAGCCTTGGAGTCTGAAGCGCCCGTGGCCTTGAGGGCATTTGGGGGGTTCGGGTCGTGTGTTCCGGTGAAAACCCACATTCTGCCTTGCGGCCTTACAGTTGCGCAGGGGAGGCCCAAAAGAAAGGTACCCCGAGTTGGAGAAACCCCAGATCTGGATACTCCGGGACTTGGAGGATCATGGGGCTTGGTAAATAAGGTTGTAAGGCCCTTAATTAGGGTTATAAGTATAGTTACCCTAATTATAACCCTACTTACTAAGTCCCATGATCCTTTAAGGAAGGATCCTTGCTGCGAAGCAGCGCCCCTTCCCACGCCGCGGACTTCTCACAGGCGCTGATGGCGCTGTTGAGGCCAGGCAGGTCCGTCTGAAGCTGCGCCTGCCTGGCTTTTGGCGTTTTGCGGTGCAGGACACCCTAAACCCTAAACCCTAAACCCCAAACCCTAAACCCTAACCCCTAAAACCCTAAACTGTAGGGCCTTATAGCCTTATTCACTAAGCCCCATGATCCTTGAATTTAGGGTTTAGGGGTTTAGGGTTTAGGGTTTAGGGCTTCCTTAAAGGATCATGGGACTTAGTAAGTAGGGGTATAATTAGGGTAGCTATACTTATAACTTAAGGTCGGGTGGTTTTAGGCCAGGCCTAGGACTGACGAGAGTTCAGTTGTGCTTCGAGGATCATGGCCTCATCTTAGGGTTTAGGGTTTAGGGTTTAGGGTTTAGGGTTTAGGGTTTAGGTGGCCTCATCAAGTTCAAGGCACGACTTTAAAATGGTCAAGCCAGAAACTCGGTAGCAGCGACATACCGGTATGGGATGCAGAGCAACGAAGCCAGAAAGAAAAATGCCCCAAAGCAACAGCCCCATGATCATGACAGCATGAATTGCTCGTCCCACTCCTGACGGGAACAGTTCGATTGGTTCAAAGAGCCTCAGCTATAAGCTGTCACGGCTGGGATCTGCAAACCCGCAAGCCCCGATGTGAGGCCTTACCTAAGTAGCCCTTGAAGAGCATGGTGGTTGTGAAGCTGGTTATACCGATGATTGTGATTCGTGATTGGTCTACGGTCTACAGTTCCCATCATGCGCACGAAGTTTACCCTTGGCCCTACACCCTCAACCCGGAAAGTGACAACGATTTCGCAGGGGCCTGGCTTCTATACAACTCTGCAAGGCGTCTGCCCAAGGGCATCGCAAAGCTGCCCCGGGGCAGCCCAGCAACATGGCACTGACCCGCGGGACGAACTGCTCTGATTGGGCGTCTTCGGGTTTGGAAGGGAAGTTAGGCACATTTGTGGGCGTGTCTCAGTGAAGAAGCTTACCGGCTGGCCCTCCGACGAGCCTGAGCCTCCGCAGCCGAATCAGAACACACCATGGTGCCTAAGAACCTCCAACCCGCTGTGATGATGTCCACAAGCCCTCGGAGGCCCAAATTACCCAAAGCTGACTTACACAGACGTATACATTCCAAAGAGCACAGGCTCCCCCCACATCATCAGCCGGGTGGAAGCCAGTTGCGAAACGAAACTGTGGAAATATGACAGGGATGACGGGGATGAGAATGACAGCGACAATGGTGATGGTGATGGTTCCGGGCAGGCCGAAGGTGATGATGATGATGATGATGATGATGATGATGATGGTGATTGTGATTGTGCTGGGTCATGGTCATGGGAATGACATGGCTGATACAGGATTCATTGCGGCTAGTGTCTCACTGACCTCCTTCGCCACTAACTTCGGTCCCTCAGTGTACTCCTTCAACGGTTGATCTGCTTCGCATTCGAACTGCTCTTGCAAGCAGACGCTAGCACGTGGCACCTCGTACTCATTCCCCGATTTTCCGCCCGGCGATGCTCTCAGTGCGATGGGGCCCTTTGGCCCTTCGGCATCTCAGCCGAGGTATCGCGCTTTCCGAAAGCTGCTGAGCGCAACTGCGCAGCGGGTCGTACACCCCCCTTTAACTCCTGAACGTTAACAGCTCGCTGTGGCCTGCAAACCCTCCAGACCCCGACACCCTTGATTCTTACGATGCAGGGTTTCGGAATGAGGGCATGGCCGACAAAGCCTCCGAGCTTCGTGGCATCTCTATGTGATCCCAAGAATCCGAACCCGATGGAGCTGCGATTGCAGGGATTCGGCTAAAGCTTCAATGAATCACAGGTTGCCGATAGCTTTCGAAGGTTCGGAACCGTGTGCTCCAGACGGGTCATACACCCCCCAAGGTCTGCAACACCCTCTGTAGACCGCGACACCCTTGATTCGTGCAACGCAGGGTTTCGGGTGGAGGGCGTGATGTCATGTCTGCTGGTGATCCCAAGACACCGAACCTGCCGGAACTGGGATTGTGGTTAACTTAATGGCGGAGAGGCGCATGACGATAGTGCTCCTAAACCCTAAACCCTAAACCCTAAACCCTAAACCCTAAACCCTGAACCCTGAACCCTGAACCCTGAACCCTCTGCTCAACGGGTCATACACCCCGCTTAACATCATCGCGCAAGGTTGCGAGATCCTCGGGGCTTAGATCTTCAACGAAAGGCCGTCGGCTTTTATCTAGTTGTATATGAATCGGGTTTAGGGTTTACGGGTTTAGGGTTTAGGGTTTAGGGTTTAGGGTTTAGGGTTGTATATGAATCGGGTTTGGGGCTTCGAGACTCGAAGCTGCGTGCTCTGCAGTGGGTCGTACACCCCAAAAAAGGCACGAGCTCTGGAAAGGAACGGCCCTGAACCCCACATCGCTTGCTTCTTACGATGCCGGGCCTCAGGGATCTCAGGGCGGCAAGAGCCTCCATGCACTCGAGCACCAAAGCGCTTGATGACAGCAATATAGGCCCATATAATTGGGGAGCTGAGGATCAGAAGCGAGACCTCGCGGCGGGGCGCTGCGCGCTGCGCGCTGAGTAGCTGCACAGATGCCGCTGCGGCTGCCCGGCACCTTCAGTGTGGACACCCAGGCTTTGCGAGGCTTAGAGAGCCAAGGCCCAAGGCTTCTGTGCATGAAGAGATTTGGAAGGTTGAGAGGATGGAAAAACGGCGACGCCTGCGCCGGCGTCGTGACCGCCGCACCTTCCACATCGTCCGGGACAGGGCTCCGGCTGCGCTCAGGCGCGCGGTCAGATCCCAGTCGCTTAGATAAAGGCTGCATGGCCCCAGGGGGCTGGAGGAGACGGAAGCTCCGGAAATCCGGCTCTCTGCCTTGGTGAGGCACTGGCAAGCTACGAGGTTCAGAGGCGCGAAAAACCGGAGAACTCGAGGACGAGAGCCCCTTCGCAGGCCTTTCTGTCGGGAGATCATCAAGGGGCGTCGGCACCCTGACTTAGCCGTGCAGGGCGATACCTTGGAGAGGAGCTTCTACTTCTAAGGTTGCAAAAAAAGAGCATGCAGAGAGGGCCCTAGCTCTAGGACTGGGAGGCCGCAACGGTCCTACACGGCAAAGGTTAAAGAGGCAGGGGCATGGGCAGCCGAAGAAGGCCGCAGCGAAGGCTCGTCGTCGGCTCGCTTTCTCCATGAAGACTCAGTTAAAGGCCCAGTGCTGTCCGGCGCACCACAGGCATCCGACGAACTTCGCCGAGGCTGTCACATGCAGGACAAACTCCTGGTGCGTTGGCAGCTCCTCATCTGCAACGAGTACTTCGCAACTGCATGCATGCCATACCTATCACCATACGCTTCGGCAGGTGTGTTCGGCACAAGTCGAGGCAGAGTGGAAGCTCCAGAAACTGTCATCAGCGTCCAGCCCAGCAGGCCTTTGGACATGCAATGTCACGGCTGGACTAGGCATGCCAACAAGGGCAAGAACTGTCGCAAAGGAGAAGTGCTGATCAGCGGACCTGGGGATGCAAAGAATTTGCCGGTGAAAGGACCTCAAGACACGTATGGCCGGAGCCTCCCAGGCACAATCTGGCATTGCCCGGTCCATAAGACGGAATGGCTTTCACACACAGCGCCGAGAAAGTGTGACCTCGAAATCGAAGCTTTAGGCATTCGATGGTTGCAAACACGCGGACCAGCCGAATGCAGGCAAACCGAGTCGCCAAGAACCGCCCGATAGATCACAAAGGTTCTTCAAGCAAACCGGAACACCTCTCTCTTCTCACCTAGCCATGTCCCGGCGATCTTGAAGCTGGGAAGGCCGTGCTCGAACGAGTCCAATCGATGAGTTTCACGACGGGCAGATCATTCGTCTCCTCCGCTCGATGCTGGGACAAGGCAAAAGTCCTCGCTCGGAGGTGCAGAGCTCGGTTCAGGCTTGAGTGCTTGGGCATGGCCACAGGTCATGTGATTGAAGCCAAGAAGCCCTAAGAAACGCCTTTCGCAAGAGAGTTGAGGACTGGTGCATCCCCAGGACAAGGCTCCGCGATTCTGGAGCTTCTGAACTCCTTCTGCCTGATGACTGAGTGATTGTTTTTTGTGGGACATCCGGGAACCACCGAGAACTCGAATCCAACCCAGATGGATTTACCGAGCCCTCAGAGCGGAATCAAGCGATGCGATTGCCAGGGCTGCGTCTCCGGCCGGCTGGAGTGCTTCGGCGACGACAGCATTGAGGACCTCTGTGCACTGTGGATGCGCTCTGTTCAGAAAGTCTTCGAAGTCTTCGAATTTCCCATGTCATGCCCTCGCAGCGGAAAAAGAGCGGTGCAGTCCAGCCTGCGGGCCACCTTGTAGTTTAGTCTCGTAACCCACGTCGGAGCTTTCTAACCCTCGGACTTATGTTGACGGTGGGCGACTTACCGGCTCGAAATTGATAGTCGTTTGTGATATCCGCGTAAGCACTCAATGCCGGTTTGAGGCTTCAGGGGCGCCCGCGGCCATCCGTCAACCCAAGCAGGCTGAGGCAGGGCTTCGAGGGTGCGGAAAGAGCCAATGCGCCGCTTTGCGAACCGAAACAAACCCAAGCGGACAAGAACAACACTCTTTGGGCCTGCAACTTGCGACCTCGGCGGTGCTTGAGCCGATTCGGCTTACATTGTCTGTCGCAGGCACTGCTCGCAATTGAAACCTCAAGCCGGTTAAAAGATCGGTGCTCTTGACCTGAAACTGACGGCGTCTGGTGCGACGGGGGCTGTGGTACGACGCTGGGTCGAAGATGTCAGTCGATGGGTTTGGTGAGGGGCATGTCGTTCATCTCCTCCGCTCGATGCTGGGACGAGGAAAGTAACCTCGCTTGGAGGTACACAGCTGGGCTTAGGCTTTACTGGGCATCAGGCACGGCCTGTGCAAGACTCCGGCCAAACAAGTCTGGAAGACCGGGTGAAAGCCCCACTCGACGTGTTTCACAAAACAGTCAAGGACTGGTGTACCACTTCCTGGCACAGTGAAAATGAAAGGGAGGTCGGAGTGCTCTCTTTCACGCCGCCGCGGACACACCCGAGCGAGCTCAACAAGCAATGTGGCCTGCCTTGAACTTGACGATTTCTCGTTCTGAAAGTCATAGACCGGCCGAAGACATGCAACACGGCCTGCAAATGAGTGACGTGCATGGGCGAGGTAAATTCGCGGCTGTGCCGGGGCCCAGAAGGCAGAGGAGCAGAGGGATCAGAATCGCAGCCAGGAGCAACCAAGCCCTAATCCCTAAATCCATCAACAACCCTAAACCCTAAACCCAAACCCCTCCTCCGCACAGCGGGCACCCCACATGCTGCCCAGAGGCTTTCAGACAGGACCCGCGGAGAGGACCTCCGGGGTTCGGGGCTGAAGATCCTAATAAGCCCTAAGAGAGGACGAGCCTTGCAGAAAGGAGCTGAAGAAGCCAAAGCTTGGAGCTTAGGATTTGAGGCTCAGGGTTCGGGGTTTGGGCTCTTGTGGGTTTAGGATTTAGGGTTATAGGGTTTAGGTCCTCCTTCCTCCGCATGCGCTGTAGCTGTAGGGTCCTAGATGCTCTCGTGGCTTCTGTAACCCAGAAGCCTGCGCCAGAACGACTGCAGCTCTCTTTGATCACCCCGGACTCTGCGCTGAGGGTCCCGGTGACGGCACATTATAGGCCTTTGAGGGGCGGCGCTGGGACCTGTAATCTTGTTCGTTCAAGGCTTTCTCCCTCCCAATGAGAGATTCTGCAAGAAATTCTGGGGCCGCTCCGACCAACAAAGCGCTGTGACAGCAGGCAGCATGACAGATATCCCGTGGGAGGCAGACTAAAGATGGATTCAGCACAAAACACGCAATCCTCTGGCGCAGATAAACAACCAGGCATTCTGTTGCGCGCTACTGTCCTGCTCGAA